GAAGGATCTTGAAGACTTATTTGGATGCAACATCATTATTCAGAGCAGCCACAATCAAGTCAAGATGTCATGTCAATTTTCAACCTCCACTGGGAAAGAAATAACAAGTGTGTACTATGTATCAGTTACAAGCCACTTTTCTATCAGAACAATGCTAGGACAGACTCTAATGTCAAAGTCTCCTCATGCCACAATCAGGGGCAGAGCTTGGAAAAAACTACATTTTGGACTTCAACTCCTTCACAACCAGGCAGGAGGATTCTGGACACAAATGTCCCAAAAAGTAACTTTTCTAAACTCTTGTACAAGTTTTCTCCTGGTGAAGGATTTCCCCGTCTCCTCCCTAAAAATATTTTAAATAGGCACAGTCACTTCGAGATTATGTATTGTTCTTCACTTGATTTGTTTTTATTGATTTTCCTTTGTTTTCTTACCTACTTTTGTATTAAAAAGACCCACGGTGATGTATTAATTAAAATAAGAACTACTGTATTAAAAGAGTGCAGGAAAATGGTTTTGCAGCAGATGAATGCAAGTGCAGTGACAAAGGACTGGGAAGCAATAATAAGAAATAAATGTTAATCTCGTATCCGAAAGAAGAAGAAATATAAGCCTCCCTACCACTAACCATAATACATCTGCGGGATCTATTGTCTGCTGTCCTACATAAATTCCTTTGCAGCAGTGCACTTTTTCAAGATTGCAAGCAGATTCTCACTTTTCTGGCATTTCTTGTCATTATTTGTGCCTCTACAGATCTGATGGATTTCACCAAAAACGGAGATGGTCTTGTCAGCAGTTCTTGAAACAAACAAATCTAGCCAGGGTAAATTTTTTTACCCATTCCTGTAAATTTTTTTGAAAAATGCCTTGAAATTTTTGCTTTCACAATTTTGGTTCTCCTGACCCTCCTCTCCCATCTTCAGTTCTTGCTTGAGAACACACTTGAGAACACACACACACACACACACACACACACACCTCCCCCAAAACACACACAAAGGCAATAAACAAGACTGCCTGAGGCAGAGAAGCAAATTCCTTGCTCCTGAAGTTCAGGTACATAGGCCAAAATCTGCTTGTGCAGCTCCACCTGTACAGTGTTAGTGATGCCATCATCTGTAACAGATCGTAAAACTTCCTGTTTTTATTTTGGGCTGCACACAGCTTGCATGCAATGAGATGAATTTGTAGGCACCCTGAAATTCAAAGTCTTTAACTGGCAGCAATGATGTTGCCCAACAGCTTTTTCATGGCATGTTGCTTGAGGCAAGATAGATCACTGTGCCTAATGATAGGGGCAGCCCAAGCAAACATTTCGAATATCAGTGAAACCTATAAAAATTGTATCTCTGAGATTCATAAAGCAGAATTTTGGCATTCACATGCTAAAAGCCCTTGCTGTAAAGGTGGTCATTCCCATTGTGATGTCTCATAAAACTTTCGTTGGGGCCACCAGTAGTGATGGCGAAGTAAACTATATTGTTTACTTTGGGGGGGGGGCAAATTTAGCCAGAATCGTACTGATGATTTATTCTTGTGTAAAAGAAATTGCATGAGTCTTGGCAGCAAATTACCACGCATTAGTAAAGCACTTCTTGCATTCCTGGATGCATATCATATGCACGTAGAAACACAAAAAGCATCTCATCAATGAGCACCAATCAGCTGGCAAGACTTGACGCGATTTCCTTCATACATGTGTAAAGGAACAGCAGGGGTCTGGCCCAGTATTTTTAAGCTAGCATGGCATGCAAATTTGATCACTGGTGTTGCTGATAAGAAATTGCCATCTTGTGCTCTGTGTATATGTATGTGTGTGCACACATGCTCTGAGCCTGCACAGCAGTCACTATGTCTTGCCCAAGGCAATAGAAAAAGCTGTGTGATTGCAAAGTAGGCTTCAAACAAAGGACACCCGTACATGGGTTCCAAATTCCATCATGACTTACTGGAAGTCTCCTCTGAGCAGCCAGAGGCATAACATAATCAGGCCCTATTTTTGGACCATTTGCCTTAAATCCAAGTTCATACCATCTTTGGATTGTTCTGAAGAACTCACTTCTTTATGAGCCAATAAAGACATTACACAATATGATACTTTGGTTTTATGAATGGTTATTGCAGAGATGTCAGCAAGAGGCGCAGCTGTAACTAGTAATGTTGGCACCCAGGGTGAGCAGGGCAAACCGCACCCACAAACCAGCTTATGTAATTTGTGATGTGCAAATCCAAGATGTAATTATAGCACTGAACACCTTTCCAGAATCTCCTGTCCTCCACAGGGGATCAACAGCACCGTCGGAGCTACTAAACCAAATCAAATGGGTCAGTTTAACATATTGTATATATTCATAAGCTAATTATCTAGTATAGCTCAGAGGTCTGGTCTATCCAAACATATGTACTTTCCAACATGAGAGGACTGTTCTACACAGGACTTAGTTGGACCAGGCCTCCACCTCTTAATTCTGTGCTAGCTGTTTGATCTATTTGAGCCTTGAATAAACCATCCTTCTGCTGCCTCAGTGTCACTTGGTAAATCAACTATTTTCCTTCTGCATCATAGGCCAGGTCTAGTGCTGCCTTGTCCTGTGGTGGTAGACCACATTGCTGTCTAATCTTTTGTTGCAGTTTTGAATTTCTGGTAAAATTCCTTGGTGCTACACAGCAGAAATGAGGAGAACAGCTTCAAGTTCCCCAGATAGTCCACCCCTTTCTCATTAACAGGCACTTAAGGTGTCAATAACTCATAGTTGCCACACTCTATTTATGGCCTTGACAAGAAGCTCTGGTCTTAATGTCCAATAAAATTCTAATTTGGAACACCGCTAATAATGGAGAACTAATCAGATGTAATGGCTGGCTCACATTTTAATGCAAACATGCCTGATTCTCACTGCAAGAACCAATGTACAAAGCAAAATGCATTTATGCTTCAGTATTCTCAATTTTCTTGCACACCCTTACCAAGCAGGTGAAAGAGCTAAATGAATAGCGCTACATCTTGCCACTCCAAAAATATTAATCATTCATTCTCTGCTCAAGGAGGCTGCATATACCACGATATCAAAAGCATATCTGAGGCAGTGCAAAATCATTCCATCTCCTTATCAGAACAACAAGAAAAAAAGGATGCAATTCACGATGTGTTTATTATCATTTTGGAGTATTTGCTGCTCAAAACAGCTTTTGAAGTGTTATGAGATGATCACAGCAGGATTTTCCAGCTATCTTTAAGGCCTACAATTTATTTTTAGTTCATAAACAAGTAATAACACTGCCCTTGAAAGTTCAAGAGGACAGCTTGCTTCCCTGATTCAGCAGAGAATACATGCAATTTGGTGACTTGTTTACTTTGTGGCTCGTTTGTGCCCTTGAAATTACAGGGATAATTATCATGTTCCTCACATGGAGGTGTTTTCATGAGGGCAAGTACATTCTGGCCTGTCCCACACTCATATTTCATGAATGAAAAACACACAAGGCTCTGAAATGAAGAGGCTCATAAATCTCAGGTGACAGGTTTTCTTATTAGCCCCAGCAAAACGGCACAGTTTGCAAACAAAGTGCTACTTTTTTTGTCAAAGCAATATCTGTCAGAGAAACTTAAAAAATTCTTATCTAATCATGATCTCACATTTTGTGTACTGGCCTTAAATAAGAACTTAATTGCCATAAGATATGGCCAAAAAAACCCTCAGATTAGAAAGAATAAACAGTTCTTTTGTGGAATATGTTAAAATTAGCTGGGCACTAAAATCATACAAACTGAAAATGAAAGAAAGCAGATTAAGCATTTCCTTTAAAAAGAAATGGAGTGTGATGTGTTATGTCACTGAATATTTCCCAGCATCTATATTAGGTCTCTTAAAGATAAGAGTTGTTGCTTTTGGCTTTCTCACACTTGGTTGTGAAAGAGCAAGGGACTTGGTGAAATTTGTGGGACTAATTTTTAAAAGCCATTTCTCTGAAATCTACTTCTCTCCAGGAAATCTTAAGAAAACCTTAATAAATATGTAGAACATCCAATATGTAGTATTGGATTCAGTAACTGCTAGAACTATAAAAAATGTTTGTCATGAGGATGATGATGAAATTGCTAGATACTGCTGGATAGCTCAGTGGTTTGCCGGTCACAGGGAGTCCAGATTCAGTTATCCATAGGGTCCCTTCCAGCTTTGCCGTTCTAAGATGATGATGATGATTTCTCAAGGAAAACAAATGGGTAATATTGCAATAACAACTGAAATGATTAAGAGATAAGTTGTTGTTGTTTAGTCATTTAGTCATGTCTGACTCTTCTTGACCCCATGGACCACAGCACGCCAGGCCCTCCTGTCTTCCACTGCCTCCCAGAGTTTGGTCAAATTCATGTTGGTAAAGGCTATGGAAAACTGGAGTGCACCTGGTCCAGATGAGCTGCATGGATTTTGGTTAAAGCATTTAACAAGTCTCCTTCAACAAATGGCAGTGCAATTTAATCCCTTCAAAATTCTACAACTGAATATTGGATGACAACAGGTCACCCATTTCTGATAATAAAAGATCATCAAAAGGGCAATGAGCCCAGTAACTATCAACCAATTCCATGCCTTCCAACAATGTTCAAGCTCCTTACAGGAGCACTTGCAAGATCAATATATAATTACTTAACTGAAAACTCCCTATAACCAACTGAACAGAAAGGGAACTTTAGAAACTCAAGAGGCATGAAAGATCAGCTGCTTATTGATAAAATGATAGTGAAGAATGCAAAAAGATGAAAAATAAAACTTAATATGGCTTACAAATAGAATCCAACAGAAGTCTGCAAAACTTGTTCAGCCCTATTTCTGATAGAAAAACCACAACAAATGGCCTCTGAAAGGGCTAGATAACCCTTACATTCTGAAACTACTTCAAACAGATGACATCTGTGCAACAGAAATTCAAATCCTGTTGGAAGGCTGTAGATCAGTTGAATACAGACATGGCATCCCAAATTAATCATTTGAAATTGTTTTGGAAAAGCTTTTGTTGTTTAATTCCCTTTGCAGGCTGAAAGGATATTTTCTGAAGTAAGAAGAATTGAAAACTACAGAGTAGAAGGCATGGAAATCTACTCCACAACGCTGTGGCATCTGCAGAAAGATGTGGCTCTTTCAGTCCTTTCGAAAGACTTAACTGATATGGATAAAAATTCACCAGAGGTATAGTTATAACCCTTTTAGTGTGGCTTCCCCCCCATTTTTTTGTAATATATTTCAGTTCCTAATTGATCCCGTAAGAGTGGAAAAACAGACCAAAGGTTAGCATTATTTTAAACTATTTTTCTGCAAAAGTCTTGCCGTTCAAACAGACATTGTAGTAGTACATGCCAAACTACATTCTTCTCTCCATTAGTATGTCATTACCTCAGAAAAGAAGTAAAATACTACGGTAAGTACATCTTCTACCATTTTGCTCTTCTTTCTTCCAGGCATGGTGTGCTGCAGGAAATTGCTTCAGTTTGCAACGAGAACATGATATTGCCATCAAGTTCTTCCAGAGAGCTATTCAAGTTGATCCGAATTATGCTTATGCCTACACTCTCCTAGGGCATGAATTTGTGCTGACGGAAGAACTTGAGAAAGCATTAGCCTGTTTTAGGAATGCAATTAGAATGAATCCTAGGCACTATAATGCCTGGTAAGAAATATTTCTCATTTGTAAGAATCTTAGAGAAGGCAAGGAATTAACCCTCTTCCCCAAATGTTATTTAGATTATCCCCCCCCCCAATACATACTTCAAAAATCTACTTGCAGTCTCTTAAGAATACATTTTTTGTCTCCGTCTGTGACTTCGGTCTTGATACATATTGGCAGTGGCATCATTGTCTGTGAAAATGCCTACAGTCCACAGAGCATTCTACATCACTTCCAGGAACACTCAGATATCTTCAAAGCTCAAAACATTAAGCAAAGATTTTGAACAAATGTGATCTGAAATAGTTTTTCAGAGTCCTCTGTTGGAGAAATCACTCACTTTGGTACTGAACAGGATTCCTCAGTTGTACGGAGCAGATTATCTAGACTCATTTCAGTTTGTCTTCAGGCTTGGATGTCTCTGAAGGCGTTTTTGTTGGTATATATCTTTCTCTAAGAAGAGATTGAGAAGTACAGTGGTACCTCACATTACGAGCGCTCCGTTTGACGATGAAATTGCTTTACATCGATGTTTTTGCGATCGCAAAACCATGTCCCCTATGGGGGAATTTCGCTTTGCGATGACCGATCATCGCAAAGCGACCATTTTCAGCCAGCTGATTGGCAGTTCCAAAATGGCCACCGGGGAAAAAACATGGCCGCCCGCTGGTTTCTGGGACAGATTCCTCGCTTAAGAGGCACCGGAAATGGCTGCACTATGGAGGATCTTCGCTGAACGGTAAGTTTTAAGCCCATAGGAATGCATTAATCGTGTTTTAATGTGTTTCTATGGGCTTTTTTATTTTGCATTGCAACGTTTTCGTTCTGCAGCGATTTTTGCAGAACGAATTAACATCGCAATGCAAGGAACCACTGTACTTTGAACTGCGCACACCAGACATAGTAATAATAGAATGAAGAAATGCCTGGATCATTGACATTGCAATTCCAGGGGATGCCAGAATCGAAAATAAAGAATTGGGAAAACTAACAAAATATAAAGACCTGGCAATTGAAACATCTAGCTTGTGGATGAAACAAACTTCAGTGTTCTGAATAGTCATTGAGGCTTTGGGAACAATATCAAGAAATTTCACACAGTACTATAAGCAGTTGCAGATCTCAGAAATAACACCACCAAAACTACAAAAAAATGACAATACAGTGGTGCCTCGTTTAACGAGTGCCCCGGTTAACGATGAATTCGCATAGCGATGGCAAAAAAGCAATCTCTTTTGCCATCGCTTTGCGATGTTGCCTATGGGGAAAAATCGCTTTGCGATGTTTTCCCCATAGGCCCCATTTTCCCCCAGCTGAGTGGCGGGAGCCTCCAAAGGACCGCTCC